TCCTATTCCTATTCCTATTCCTATTCCTATTCCTATTCCTATTCCTACTTCTATTCCTGCTCCATCCACTTTCTATTATTCACAGGCTGTTTCATACTATAGTGTATACATTTTAGTCAGCATTTTTAATTTTGATGTTTGACCTTTTTCTGAATTTAAAAATGTGTAATTTAAAAACACTTCACATACAAATTAAGAAATAAAGGGAATGTGTTAATACTTCACAACAATTATCAAATCACCATTGAGTAAGGTTTCTCTGCATCCACTTCAAAATCAAAGTATAATTTCAGAAATGCACTTAATTCATTCCTTACTGTAATTCTTTATCACCTAATTTTTCCATACAGTTTAGCAGATTATTAGCCTTTCACTTTGATAAATGCTCAAAGGATTTATTCTGACAGAGGAGCAAATACGGAGATTTATTTGGCAGAAGCAAAACTTGCTCAGTGAATCATATACTACTGAATATGAAGACAACAATGGCATTTTAACATGGTTTCATAATGGAATTTCAACATTAGTCCTAATGGGTTTTTGTAAACATACCAAAACACATTTTAGACCCAAAAAGTCAGAGATAATGGAAGGTGAGAGTGATTTTTCTTCAAATAGGCAAGTATTTAGGGCACTCTACAAACAGCATTAATTAATGCTCTGGATGACTGACCAGGAAAATCTGAAATCCGTTTTTATAGCACATTAATTTGTATTAGTAGTAAGCAGGACTTGTCTGATATCCCCAAGACCCCATATCTCTGAATTCCTGATCCATACTCGATAACATCTTTCACAGGCAGTCTGTAGACCAGACTCACTCTATTATCTGAAGAGGATCAGATCGAGAGACCACTTTGATTACATGCTTTGATACACAATCAGAAAATCAGCAATATACATTTTATTAAATGCATCTTTAGATCCCAGAGGAGGATTTACAAAAAGCACCATTTATGCCTACTCTCTGGTCTCCAGAAAAGTTCATCAAGTATCGATGAATATCAATAGGGGCAATTATTTCTGCATAGAGGAATTCAGTGACACACCTTTGCTTCATACACACTTCCATGTCAGACAGCATTGCATTAGACTGTCCCTCTGCTGCCATCTGTCACACAGCAACAACATGGAATGGAAAATTGATGGGAAGATTCAACCTGTATTGTCATACCTCTAACACTTACCTCTGATGTCCTAGACCAACATAATAAAGTACGAGTGATTACTTTCAGAGCAGCCCTTGTGTGTCAGTGTAAGTATGCATATTTTTAACATTTTTCTCATAAACAAAATTTTTTTCCCAATTTGTTCAATAATGCTTTTCCGAGCTTGTTTTTAACATACTGCTAACTAATACACTGACAACTGCAGTCCGTGTTGTCAGTATGTTATTGTTGCAGCCTTAATGGTTTCAGAATCTCAGAAAGACTACTGCAGAGAGAGGTAATATCTTCTAATTAGGCTGATACAGCTGGAAATACTTATAAGCTTTCAAACACAAGAATCAAATACCTCTGCTCCTCCCAACTGTACCAACTGGCTGATTAGATGACATTATTTCACCTGTATAAACCTTACATCACTTGCACTGCAGTAATTCATCTGCACTTATGGTTCCTAGATTCAGAGTACTCTTCTGAGTCAGAATCACCATGGATGCATTTCATCCAATTTCATTTGCTGAAGGAATTAAGGGACTTAGAAGTCCCATGATCCGAAGTTACTTCTGGATGCTAAGATGCTAAGAGAAGTGAGACGATCATGAAGAATTAACACAATGCAACCAGTCATATCTCATGTGAGGATCACACTGTAAAGTTTCTGCTGCTGAGCAGAAATTCTTCATACTGTTCTAAAGACAAAAAATTGGAGGTTCTCAGTAAACTTGCCAGCCTTTGGATCATACTGCCAAGGTATGGTCTGGTGCTGGAACAGGCTGCCCAGAGAGGTTGTGGATGCCCTGCTGGAGATGTTCAAGGTTCATCAAGGTTGGATGGGGTGCTGGACCCCAGTATTAAATGGGGAGGTTGGTGGCCCTGCCTGACGCAGGGGGTTTGGAGCCTCATGATCCTTAAGGTCCCTGCCAACCCAGGCCATTCTGTGATTCTGTGAAGACCTATCTAGGATGTGATTTATGACCACTAGATAGATCAAGCACAGCTAACAACCAGGAAGAGCAAGCTGGTAAATTGGAGGCTTACAGATTATGACTATAAAAGGTGCAATGCAAATGCAATGATTTCTTTCTGAAAAGTACATCAAACAGATTTTCTGATTTCTCCTTTCAAGGCTAGCCTCTAAAAATCAGTAATATGCTCTTACTGGAAAACTTAAGGAGATTAAACGTGGCTTGTACATTGGGATTTGCACTGTAATGTTGAGAAAATATTAAAATCAAGGTACTAAGTCTCTTAACCATCCCCAGAGGAACTACTCTGTTTCTGTGTCAGATCAATTTCCCAATTTGCCTTGTGTGCTTGTGCATATATACTCAGCAGAAGCAAAACAGTTGAAACTGCAATCAATTCTTATCCAACTCAGTAGTCTGACAAGCTACCATGATGAAAAACTTAAAATTACTAGTGTATTGAAAAATCTTTAATGAGTTGATAGACACAACCTTTCCTATATTCCACCATCAAATTACCTGAAAACTTCATTCATATCAGTAAGGAGCTGCATCGTTTAAGATATGTGCTGAGTTTTAAAATGCTCCTATTGTATAGCAATAGTATCTAATCAACATATGTGAAAACTAAGCTCAGCATGAGGTTAAGAACTGTGCTAGAAAGGCAGTAGGTTATTTTGAATAGTCAAATGAACATATCATCTCTTTTTCCATTAGCGTTCCAACAGTCTATTTCCAACTGGTGTTTCTAAAAGCAACATACCAGCAAATGATAATTCCATCTTTTAAGAAGATAAAGATTTGCTTCATTGGCTGCACTGGCAACATGGCTCATTATATTGATATCTTAATTATACTGTGCCAATCAATCACCAGGTGTGTCTCTGGTGACTTGAGAAAGGAATCCTACCTGTCATTTAATTGTCAAGTGCTTCTGCAGCACATTATTTTTCTGAAGAACAGAAAATACTTCAAATTGCAACCTGAGTCTAATTTTTTTTTCTTTTTCCTTCAAATTGGTGATGCTGTAAACAAACTATCAACATTTGCAAAACAGAGCTCAGAAGGGTAAACACACAGGTCTTTCCCCCCGTCCAATTTTGTTGTCCACACATACATAAGCTGGAAAAAATACGCAGTTATCATCTTAAAGTGAGTAGTTCACAGTAAAATCTCCAAAGCCAGTAAAACAAGTTAAGTCAACTAGTTCTTAACATATGACCGTAGGGTCTGGAGGCCAAGTTACTAACCTGTTATTAGCTATTATTACAAGAGTTGTTTCAGGGACTATTCACCTTGGAATCAATTTTCCACATTGTTCTTATGCCCTTTAAAGGAGAACAAAAATCCATCTTTGGACATATACAAGTTTTCTGTTGGCTTCCAGCAACCTATTCATCTATCACTTGGTTATACTTCTATTATACTAAGTAGTACAAACTTCTCTACCCATCACAGGGCTAATACAATAATCCAGGATGAAAGACAATGAATAATTTTTTAACAGTTGTAATCTAATTTTAAAAAAATGATCAAGCCTTACTATTATGATTGCTAGTTATGCTGTAGGCCTTATTCTGTAGGCCTGCCTTGCCCCAACAAGATGTATTAATAATTATTTTTATG